GGCCAAGAGCGAAACCGTTGAACACAAACCCTCACCCTGCTTGGCCGCGCCCGGCTGTCAGGCGTAAGCCTCATAAATATATATTATATTTATGTAGCATTCTATTGTATATATATATATATACACACTTGCTTACACACACACACATGTCTCTCTCTCTCTCTCTATAATTCTCTCTATATATATATACACACATTATATATATATAACAACCAGAACTTGAAAGGGAACAAATCTCCTTCCGATGCATACCCACCCCCCCCACGGAATCTCTCTTCTCTCGGAGCACGAAAGCAAAACACATGGCTGCCAATCATTGACCATAGCCAATGGCAAAACCAAACAAATTTGACCTTGTGGCCAAGTCATGCTCATCCAGATTTCCCACAATACTGGCATCATGCATCCAAAGAATGCATCCAGCCGGCTTGGGTGTCCTGGGTGCCAATATGTGGCCAACCCTTCTCACGGAGTAAAAAATACTCACAAACAAATCAGTTCCGCAAAAACTTAAGAAAAAAGCTGAACACGGTTCAAAAGGATTGTCCTGCACAGCAGTTTCTGCACGTTCGCTTCGCTTCAATGCCTACAACGACTAGAAACATGGTGTGGCATGATGCCTCTCGACTATGTCTTGCCAAGGCTCACTACAGAAGGAATGCGGAAGCCTTCCACTCTTTCTGGAATGACTTGACGATAAAACTCCATGATCTCTTTGAATTGCAGAGTGCTCAGCTGGTGCCTCAATCCTTTGAAGGTCATCAAACTCACCTTTTTGTAGCCCAAAGCTGCCAAGGCGCTGCCTCAGCCACTACCCTAGTCGTCGGACAGTCCGCATGCTCCATTGACCCTTCTGAAATGGCCCAGTTGCAGCTGTTGCGGGCCACTTCAATGGGAACCATGCGGTCGTCATGTCCGTGGCTCATGAAAATTGGGAGCTCAGAAGTCTCAGCTTTACTTGGCATCAAGCCTGCTGATGCCCATCCAGCCTCGTTCACGAGCAGCTCTTGGCGCTGAACAAATTGACATCAATACCGAAGACGGAGCTGAACTCACATGTTCTGAGCAGCTGACGATTGAGCAAACGCCAGCCAAGGCATGTGGAAAAGACAGCGCACTCTGCAATGCCAGAGTCCCCCCTGGCGCCAATTTGGACCACGCAAAAATGCACGGACACCGCTTCTCGGAACTGCGAGCGACATGGCAAATTAAGCCACCAACTGACATGGCAATGTGTGAGCCACCAGTCACGCCACGAGAAGAAAGGTGTCACACATTGAGAAAAAGATTGCACGTTGGACGTGCTACGCAGTGAAACAGGCACAAGTAGATTCAAAAGAATCCGCACAGGCTAAACCCTGCACGCCGTGATCTTTTTTCTTGAATGAAGTCAGGTTGCACCTCAATTAAAAGTGGCTTATGGAAAAAAGCAAATTGTTGAGGTCTGTAGAAGAGCAAGCTTAAACAGGCTGCAACAAACACAAAACATGATGCAGAAAGCTTAACTCCACCCAGAAGGCCCGTGATTGTTGCCAATCCAACGTGGAAGGGGAGCCCTATTTGCACCCCCGGCGATAAATTGATAGGTGCTGCTCGCAAGTCACCAAGCCTTGGCTGAAACCACAAAGGACGATGCGCTCCGGAGCAAATCCTGGCACAGAAGAAGCGCCACAAATGCTGAAGAATTCAAAAAAGATGCATTCTCAACGCACAACATGTCATCCTGCAAGGCAAACATGTTCACATGTAAACGAACCCCAGTCGTCAGACCTTGTTCCAGTGCTGCAAACAGCAGGCGGTGGATGCCTGATGAGTGCGTTTCTTTTTTGTGGCCAAGAAGGTTTGGTTTGACAGAGTCATCTACAGGTTGGCGGCTTCTTCGAAGGCTTCGCACCGCATCTCTGTGCACGAAGCGTAAGCCATTGGACCCAAGTTGCGGTCCACTGCCTCCTGCATACCCTGATGATGTTCACCATCAACTACAGGTTGGCGGGGCAAGTCAAACCAGCCTGACGAACACCAAGAACCTTGCGAATCCGACATCGCAGTCACATCAACCAGTTTCTGCTAAGGCACACTTCAGCTTTTTGTGAGGAAGAACTGTCAATGTGGCAATGTCCTTTGCAGCTTCGAAATCTGTACTCAGCAAACACTGTGCTTCACCCCAGCTCCTAGAGTCAAAGCAACATCCTTAAACTGACTGCTTTGAGTGCAAATATGATTTTGCAATGGGGGATATCAACACAAATAGCAAATAGAGATGAGACAAGGACATCGGATTTTCTGGCATCCTCCAACCTCTGCTCGTGTTGTTTGTTATTTCAGGCAAAATGCAGAGTCTGGCAGTAGCCATTTGACCCAGGGGAAATGGTGGCGACTCCTGGTGCAAATGCAGGCAATCTGGCACCTAACCCAAATAAAGGAAGCTTTGGAAAGAACTGTCATGAAGTCATGAAGCCATTCTTCTCCAGTTTTTCGACATTTCAGTGTCAGTCTACAGTAGTACAGTAGTACTGTTTGACAACATTGCACAAGTATGATAAGTCATTAATGCGATTAATGCCCCTCTTTCCGCTGCAATTTTCCTGTCAGTCCTGGTGGCAACAAGCAGCTGCTGGATGTGCGAACTGCATGATTGCCTGTGGGCAACATCCCGATTCTGGCCGATTCTGAATGTGCAAAGTAGCATTCATGCAACAGAATCATGTTCAAAATTTAAACGAGCGGCAAACCATGAAGCCATACTACAAGCGCGGAAGCTTCCATGTGGTCACGTGAACCATTGCGCTCTGCAAGGTCCAGTCGCGGAAATTGCGCAAACCATGTGTGGGTTGAACGGGTTGAAAAGGACAGTTCCAAAGTGCAGTTGCTTAAATCATGATATTAATCACTGCACAAAGATGCACAGAGCTTTTCCATGCTTGTCCAACATCCACCACGTCTCATGGCACTCTAAACTTTTCAGCTGAGCCATCTGAGCCCAAGAAATCCTCTCGGGTGGGAAACATGCAGTACCATGCAGTACCGTACTTAATCGTTTGCCTCGCTGATGTCACACCTTGTCACGCACGCCCCGTTCGTCCCCGTCTCGTCTCGCACCAAGGCGCCGGCTCCGGGCCTCCGTGACGCTGAGGTCAATCGATTTGAAGTACGCCTCGTCGCTCCGCCGTCGCTCCGCCGTCGCTCCGTCCGACCACCGCGGTGCGACCCCCGAGTCGAACGATCGTCGGCGTTCTTCCTGGTTGGCGGTGGGCGGTGGGCGGCGGTTGGACCCCTCTCGCGGTCCCCCTGGAGGCGGAGGCAGAGTGGCTGCCGGGGGGGGGCGGGGAAGGTCCAAGGGCAGCTTTGAGGCGCTGAGCTGGTGCATATGCGCCAGTCGACCAAGCGCGGTCTTTGTGCCAGTCTTAGCCATCCTGTTTCGCCCAGCCTCCATGACGGGATTGTCCAGCTGCCCTTCGAATTGTTCCCATGTCATCTGGCCCGAACTCAGTGGAGTGAAGATGCCCGGAGGCGAGGCGAAGAAGGTTCGATCGCGTGGCGTTTCGACATGAAAAACAGCTCCGATATGCTCCGAGCGCTCAGGGTCGGACTCGCCAATCTTCATCTGGTGCACAATCTCCCTCATGCGACTCACCTGGTAGTACCCGACTTCTTCTACTTCTCGGATCGATCACGATCTATCAGATTGGATGAGCTTGATCCAATTCAACATCAGGCATCTAACGGTATCTATCCTGTTCCGCTTGAAAGCTTGGTCCGGCACCACGGTGACGGTATTTTCCTCCTGTTTTTTGCGACCGGTCACGCGACGTGGGGGGGGGTCGCATGTCGTGACTGTGGGTCATGGCACCCGGAGACCCTGTAGTTTCACCCCGGGTCAAATGAACCGATGCCTCTGTAAGGGTGTGTCAACCTACCATGCTTTGGAGAGGGAGGTTTCGACTCATGGCTGTTCTCTCAGCAGTCCCGTGCGGAGGCCATCGCTGACTCGACGAACACGCCCGTGATGACATTCAGCCTTAGGATTTTGCAGCGATTGCGGCGCAACCCAAATGCACGCAACCCAAATGTGGCGCGCACCACGAGAACCCGCAAAACGGCGCCAGCCGCAGCACCATCCCCAACCAAACAAAAGTTAGACGACCGACCTTAGTTCTGGATCACCATGTCTAGTGACCCAAATCTGTTTCTGCACCTCAGCAAGCCAGGTAAGGGTTTCACGGGAGCCCCATCCGAATCTAGTATCCAAAGGGTTATGGGGACGAGCCACCAATTTGAGTCAATTTGGATCTATGTTGACATTCCCAAGCAATGTGTGCAAAAACACGCACACTGAACCGAACATCCAGGCCAGATGCAAGAACTGGAAAATTTCGGGTCACCAACCTTACCCATAGAAGCAGGGCTCAACATGGCCCCACAAGCCACCCCCCGAGCGGCAGGATATTGAAACGACAAATCCCGAATTCGATCCCGTTCGGCGGACATGACGAGGCGTTCACAACTCACGTATGACAATTCGGCCACTTCATGCCGTTTGGATTTGAGGAAACTTCTCCACATAAACAAGCGGAAACACTCACGCAGGATGAGAAGCAAGGCCCAAAGGGTCATCCAAATCAACCACCGTTTGAACAAGACCCGCAGACCAAGACCAAGGCCCAACACTATAGCACCCACAAGCTTTGAACCAAGCTTGAAGCGTACCCAGAAGACTGCCACGAGGGGCGTTAGCAGCCCAAGGAAGACCTTTAGCACGAAGTTTGGAAACCATAGTAAGAAGACGTGAGCCAATAAGACAGAAGGGGTGCGCAGCACGACCCCAGATCATGGCGCGCAAAAACCTGTTGGCAGCCATCATGACACCTTGAACGCGCCGAATGGCAGACCAGAGAGACCAAAGCTTAGCCATGGGAGGCAAGCGCGTGACCCACCCATACAGAATCTTGCTCAGGGCGTGGGACCTACGAGGACTGGGGAGAAAGAACCAGCCGACACGACCCGTTGATGGCGGTTGATGGTAGGATATGGTAGGTCTTCTCCAAGCAGCCGACACCCCCAGAATGGTGAACGTCAGACCTGACGAACTTGGATGACAAAGCCTTGCGACCGTGGTAGACGTGGGACGACGTCAGCTACTGCTGCTTCCTTGGACTCTCACGAACGTCCAACCAAAGCGGCTAACGTCTTCCCAGCGCGCAAGACTTGACGCAGAAGGCCATTGCAAGACTGAGAGCAAAAAAGACCGATCATCCACAACAATGCGCGTGAGCCAACAATGGTTTAGGATCGAACCCTATATAAACCGCTGCACATCCAAGCGCACGGAGCGATCGGACCCAGGGGGCAGCCTTGAGACCCAGCAGTCATTGGTCTATTGTTCCACCGAGCTGTCTAGCGAATGCCCAACACATGCTACCGACCCACCAAATGCGAGCTGCGAGCTGTTAGGATCTGGAACTGTGAAAAAGACACCAAGACGTTGAAGCGAACGAATCAAACCAACAACCGCCCTGGGCTCACTGCATCGCCAAGGCAGCAAATGCAATGTAAACAGCCTCCGTGCAGCTTGACAAATCATTCAAAGCATACGGGTATGGGCTAAATGATCAAACAAAGCTGTGTGTATGAAACAAGATGGAGCCCACGAACCCGAATGCAAACACGTTCGAAAAGCTACATATGTCCAAATGACACTCTTGTAGGACACTCTTGTGGGACACTCTTCTGGGACACTCTTGTAGGATACTCTTGTGGGTCACTCTTGTAGGACACTCTTGTGGAACACTCTTACAGGACACTCTTGTAGGACACTCCTGAAAGGCACTCTTGTGGGACACTCTTGTAGGACACTCTCGTGGGACACTCTTGTAGGACACTCTTGTCGGGCACTCTTATGGGACACTCT